GCGCTGCTCATATTCCTTTACCTCCTTCTAAAAAACGGAATGCTGATTTAACTTTTTGTATACTTACAGTCTCTCTACGATATTCGCTTATTTTGCCTACCACCAACGAGCGGATTAGACGTAATACTTCTGAAGTAACTTCCCCTTTTACTTGGACTGATATCAAAGATGGTGTTCGTCTTTATTATAGTAGACTGGATTTTAATTCTGATTCCTCTTCTGTAAAAACCGCTGTAGCTCCTGTTGCTCCTGTTACTATTGAATCATCGGTTGCTGCTATTTTTGCAAATTCCCCGCTGGTCGTTTCTTCAGATTCGCGTTATATCTTTTCACTGATAGGTCTCTTATTAATTTAGGCACTCCTGATGTTTCTATGGGCTGGTCTTGGATGCAAATTGTCCCTGATGCAGGCTTTCCTAACTTTATCACCACTTATGCTCATGGCCTCATTCGAGATAATCCTTCTTCTTCTCGAGCTGAAGCTGCTGCTATTTACGCAATTTTAACTATCTCTCCTCGTGACTCAGAAGTTACTATTTATACTGACTCGCAAACTGCCATTGATAGCCTTTGAAGTTGCTCTTCCTATGTCTACTCAAATAGTCGATTGTTTTACAAAACTACAAATTTTGAGCTTTGGGCTATTATTGAACAAACCATTCTTTCCAAAAATCTGACAGTTTTTCCTGTCAAAGTAAAAGCTCACTCTGTCAACTATTTAAACAATTTTGCTGACTCCTTGGCCAATACTGCTCATACTGCGTCATCTAGTATTTTGATTTCTGGAATGGACCTTGCCTCTGCCCATGATTTTGTCTTAATTTATGACAATGATGTTGTCTGTGAATCTAATCCGAGACACTTACTCAAGCAATATTATCAAACGCAGTTAATGCGTGATTTGTTAGATTTAACATGGTTTCACTTTATTTCTTTATTATCATCTAATATAGATTATGTTGTTGACTGGGATCTTATTTGGTTTACTTTAAATTTCAAGCCTTCTCATGATGCATCCTTTACTCCTGAGCACGCTTCAAGACACCTAACCTTTAAATTCAAACTTTTCTTGGATGATTTACCTACTTTGGAAAAGCTTAAACGGACTCGACCAGACTTATACATGGACGAATTAACTTGCCATTCTTGTATCGACCGCATGGAAGACCTGATGCACCTTTTTATGTGCAAAAGACGTCGTCTACCTATGCAACAAATTCTTCAATCTTATCAAAATCATTTGATTTCCAAAATTCTGGAAGCCGGAAAATTGGCTAACATTGACCCTACTCCATTTATTGCTAAACTTACTTCTCTTTCATGCTGGTCCTTTTCTTCTACAAATTGGTCCTCTTACGCCCTTGTCTGTCGCTGTTTACCTAAACTTTTTATTGACTTATTTGTCGATTTATCCATTCCGAGAATTTCTGCGATAAAGGTTATCGCTGCTATTCATAATAATTTTGTTCAAAAATTCAGAAGACGAATTTGGAATCCGCGTTCTTATGAAAAATGTAGATGGGAAAACGCAATGAATATTACCTATAAGTTGAAAACTACTTCGAAGCCATCCAATTTGCCATTTTCTACGTACACATCTTACTCATCTTTACCACCTCTGACCCTACACATTTCACGTGACTCCGGAACTGATTGGTTGAAGAACTTGATGAAATATAATTTGCCTTGATTTAATCACTTTTTGGGTTTTATGGGTCGTCTAACAGTGCTACTTAATAACAGCTTTTGCAGGATAGAGTGTCGATTTTTATAGTGGGCTCGCTATTCGTTATTTTGTTAGCATAGTTGCTTCTACTTTAGTTGGAATATATCAAGGAGGAAGATCTGGGGAAATTTAGTGTAATGCGATTTTTCTTTTCTAGATTAATTTTTTACTTTATTTTTTCTTAGGAGACTATATAGCTTTGTTTTTAGTTAGTTTTATTTTTATATTTTTCCTTTTATTTCTTTTTGTAAATTGTAAAGTTTGAATAAATTTAATAAAGATAAAGGCTACTATACCACGTTTACCTAGTTTTTGACCAGTGCATCATGTGATAATGCAAAATAATGTGATTTGAGCTGTGGAACTCAATTTCTTTTTTTATTAAAAAAAGTTGATGTGAATTCGATTTTACCCTAATTCTGGAGATCGGTGAATATGTTCACAGCTCTTTTACATTTAATAATTTAAGTTTCACAAATGTAAATTTTTGTTCAACTTATTATTTAGTCAAGTAATCATCAATCATATAATTTTTTGGTATTACAATTACGTATTACAATTACAAAACAATTTTGAATAACAAAAACTGTGAAAATCAATCAATAACTCTTTTTAATGCAGAGTAAACAAATCAGCCCATATGTAAATGAAAGAAATATAAGGTATTTCATATTATCTGTATGGAAACATTAAAGGATCGAAAATTTATTGTATATACGTAAATAAATAATAATCTTGAAAAGTTTATTATGCAATTTTAAATTGAGTAAATTTTAAAACAAAAAACAAAAGAAAATTTATTTATCTTTTATCTTAAACGATCATATTCATTTACCTTGAAAAATAATAGTAAAATAAAGTAAAATAGGCATTTTTTAAGATATATACAAATCTGTCAAATTTTAACAGATTATAATAATTATTTTTTTATTTGAAAAATAATCAATTGTAGTAGTTAAAAATACAATAAAAATGGTCAACATATTTGAAATTTTAAAAGTTATCTATGTACAAATAAATATATAAATTAACCTCAATAAGTTATTATATTTTATAATCAGATAATTTTTTATATTTTAAAAACATTTTTTTTATTTAAAATATAAAATTTATGAAGGATAAGTGATATTTAGCATATCCGTTCTGTTATTGTAAATAAATAAAAATCAATAAGTAAAAAATTTTTTTTATATTTAAATAACATTAAAATAAAAGGTATTTATAAAATATTTCAAAAAAATAAGGCTGAAAAAGTTTTTTTAATATTTTATAAGTTACTATATTAAAATAAACTTATTATAAATAATTTTTTTCAATCATATTGAATTAAATAAAACAAAATTTTTACTTTTTAAAGTTTATAAATATATTCTTAAAAATTAGATTATCTAGTATCTATAATCTGAAAATTTTAATTATAATTGAATTTAGGCTGCATTATAATTTAACTAAAATTATGGTTTAAAAATTGCTGATTTTAACCATTTATTAAAACTCTGAACAGGTTGGTTCAGTGTGGTTTTTTTCCAGTTTAGGTAAAAACTGAAACTGAACTGAACCAAACGGTTCTGGTTCCAAAACTGAACTAAAAATTGAACCAAATTTTTGGTTAGTTTCAGTTCAAATCAGAACCGTTCAGAACTCTACCACAGTGTTGTGGTAGTACACATGTACTAAGAAAATTCTAGTACATGGTACAATACTCGGACTAGTACTACTGTACTTAGTACAAATAATGTTCGTACATTTCAAAGTGGTAGTACACTTGTACGAATCAAATTTAGTACAAAATTAGTACATTTCGTACAATCTTTTTTTTGTATAACGAAACACGTAAAAAAAAATTTAATTTAGTCTCCGCTATAATTTCTACAAAATAAAGCTTTTTAACATAAAGTTTTTTTTACAATCTCTTTACAATAGTACAAAGCTTAAAAAAATATATAATTTCAACAAACTTAAAAAGTGGTGCTACTAATAAAATATGCTATTGTAGAGCGTGTTTTAGTAAGCTTAGTGAAAATCATCCCGAATTAAAAAAAATAGTAGACAAAACTGACAGAATTTTAAACCATTTCAAAAACTGTCAAAACTTTCAGTCTTTATATAATCAACAGGAAAAAGATGAAGTATTTTCAGTTAATAAACAAAAAAGTACAGTTTTGGGTAAAAGAATATGTAAGTAGTTTCTTATATAAATAGATATAAGATATGTTTCATTATTACTATAAAATTAACATTTAACACATCTTTTTCAATAGTAGATGATTTTGATCCAACTTTAGATTCAATAGTTGAACGAAGAGAATCATTTTCTTCACACTCTTCATTGACATCTTTACCTTCTCAATGGTCAAATTATGGACCCATGGAGTCATTTATTACACGATCTCTTTCAAGTGCAGATAAAATAAAATTTCATATGCATCTATTACAAGTTACTATTTCTTGTGGATTTTCACTGTATTGGATAAATAATAAAGAGGTAATTGAATTATTTAAATTTCTTAATCCACAAATTAAATTGCCAGATCGAAAAACCCTATCAAATGAAATTTTAGATGAGGCTGTTAAAGAATTTGATATTAAGATGTTAGAAAAATTAGTATTAGATAGAGTAGGAATTACCCTTTCTTTTGATGGTTGGACAAATGTTAGTGAACAAGAATTAATGGGGACGGTACTCACATCATCTGATGGACAACCATATGTATGGAAAGCTTCTGACATAAGTAGCGAGAGAGTAACAAATATTGAAGTTAGATTAAAAGTAGAGGAAATGAAATCACAATTAGATGAACTCAAAATACCTCTTTTAGCTGTTGTAACAGATAGTGCACCTGCTTATAATGCAGCAAGGTAAATAAATTGATAAATTACTATTTATTTTAATAATTATTGTTTTAATAATTTAATTAATCATGTTATTCATATATTTTATTAATAGAAAAAGACTTCAAGTTCAATATCGAAATACAGTTTTTTTACATTGCTATGCACACCAAATTAATTTGTGCGTTGATGAAGTTTTTAAAGTTTCGTCTGAACTTAAAACTACATCACAAAAGGCTTTAAAACTTGCAGTTTATTTTAAAAATGCAAATAATAAATATTTTATTGGAAAACTCCGAGATATTCAAACAGAAATATATGGAAAATGTATCCAACCTGTAGTTCCCAGTGATACAAGATGGAATAGTTACTTTAATTGCTGTAAAAATATAATTGCTACCAAAAATGCTTTACGGGTAAAATTATTTTCTTATTTAATTTTGTAATTACACTACTATAATTGATTTAATTTACTTTTATATTATTAGTCTTTAGCTACGAAATTTGAACCTTCAACTTCTACAAATAAAAGACGACCAACAGATCCATTAACAATTCCATGTGAAATTTATAATATAATTATGAATGGACATTTTTGGGAGTCACTAATAAAATTAGAACAACTTCTACTTCCTTATTGCGCCATTCTTAATATTCTACAAACTGATAAGGCACGATTGTTTGAAGTTTTGCATGGATTTGCCTATATTTATTAGTTTTGGCAAAAATATCCAGATAATAATATGGCAAACAGAATTCTAATCCGACTACAAAAAAGATGGAAGTTATGGGAACAGCCCCTTCTCATTCTCTCTTGACTTCTCCATCCGGCTTATAGATCAAATTATTTTACATTACCATCAAGATTACAAATCAGCTATTTACATATCGGCAAATGGCTAGTTTATTATTATAAAGCTTGGACTGGAAAAGATCCTATATCTATCCTTAAAGAATTTGATGACTTTTCGCAAGGAACTAAATATCCTTTTGATGATGCATCTATTAGCCAATTTAAAAATGATATTCATAGATATTGGTGTTGGGTTCGAAGTGCTTATCCAGAAATTGGAACTGTTGTGGCACGTATTTTTGGAATTTGTGTCAATGCCGCATCAGTTGAACGATTATGGAGTAGTATAGGTTTCCTCCATACAAAAGCTAGAAATCGATTGAAGGTAATTAAATAATTCCATATGACAGGTTTAGTTTATTCTAAATACGTGTTGTAATTGATTTTTAGTTCAATATTAATACGCAAATACAAGATTTTATATTTTATTAGAGTGGCTTAGATTTTCATAATATTAACATGTGATAGTGTTACACCTGATCTACTTGATAATACCTTGCAGATATGCTATATTTTTTTATATTATTAAATCATAATTTATTATTTATAGTTTTCTAGGGTATTAAATATGGCAAAATTGAAGGCTGATATTACTTACAAAAGGCGCAAACAAGAATCGATATTATTAAAATCAACTACAGCTAATATTAATTTAGAACAACATATAAATTTAGATAATTTGGACGAACAAAATAAGGAAAATGATTCTAATATTAATAATAGAGATGAATTAAATCATACAGAAAGTGAAGAAAGTGATGATGATGATAATGAAGATACTAATATAGAAGAACAATTTCAAAATCAAATAAACCAAATAGGTGGTGATGATGATGACGAACTTGATATAGATGATATAAATGTCGAAAATATTGAACATCCAGCACAAAATAAAGATGCAAAATGGAGACTAGATACAATGTTTAAAGATAATTTGCATTGTCCATTTTAAAGATTAGTAGAGGTGTATATAAATAATATAATATATTCAATTGTTAAATTTACATAATCTGTATATACTATATAGTTTGTACGAAATAAATTTTAGTACAAGTACTAGTACTTAGTACAGCCAATAAAAATCAATAAAAATAATATGATGTCATATTTACTATGTACTAATGTCCGAATTTTTAAAAGTACAGTGCAGTATTAGTATTGTACTAGTATAGTACTAGTACAGTACTAGTACAATTCCCAACACTGNCTGTCTCTTATACACATCTAGATGTGTATAAGAGACAGCAGTAATTCAATTTTAATGAACATTTTTTTATTTTGTAGCCCTCATTTAGCTCTACAATTTAAAAAAAAGTTCATCAAAATTGGACCACTGGATGCCGAGATATTTACAAAAAACGATTTTTTGAGCCCCTGAAAAATGGGCCAATCTGCCGAAAGTGTGACTTATGACCTGTTTTGGAGATATCCGGGGTCCTAATAATATGATGTCATATTTACTATGTACTAATGTCCGAATTTTTAAAAGTACAGTGCAGTATTAGTATTGTACTAGTACAGTACTAGTACAGTACTAGTACAATTCCCAACACTGCTCTACCATTTGTACTAATTTTAATCAACTTTGGATTTTACATATATACTATAAATTTCAAGATTATATTATACCAATAATTTATATTGTAATATTATAGTACAAAAAATTCCTTACTAATTTTATGATATTTTCACTACTGATAAATAGAAAAATAAAAAATATAAAATATGGTCCAGTGCAAAAAAATTTGTATATCAAAAATAATGTCAATAAAAAATTTTTAATAAATTAAATTTCATTTTTTTTTTATATAAATCTTATTAATATATATTTGGAAATATTATATCCCTTAAACTATTTTGCAGCCAAATTTGCCTGCAATTTTGTTTTTTAATTAAAAATACTTTTAAATACCTTAAAATATTTTATTATATAAACCAATATTTTTGTAATAAATTCTATAGTATTTTCTAAGTAAAAATCGAAAAAAAGTTCAATTTGATTAATGATTTTTCAAAAGTAAATGATCGACAAATTATAACAAATAGTAGCTAAATTTTTTAAATTGAAATATCTTTTTATCTATTAACCCTAGAAATATAAAATTACCACCATTTGATGCGTCTCAATAAGAAGAATCTAATAGAAATAAAAATTGTCCTTCTACAAATATTATGTGACAGGATAACTTATAAAATCTAAAAATTTATAAATTAATATAACATTTTATCTATCAATTTTAGAGTTATGATTTTATTACCATTAAATGCGCCTTAATAAGAGGAATCTAACAAATATAATTTCATCTTTCTATGATCACTAGATCTTAAGATATTTTAAAAATTCAAAAATTTTTAAAATTAATTTTAACCCTTACAGTTTAAGGAATAATATCATTATTACACCAAATTGTATATCATCATTAGATTCACTATAATTATTAGATTTTTTATTAATTAGGCCAGACCAAGTTAATTATCTGTTTATCATAACATAAATTAAATCAATAAGAGGGGGGAGGGCTAAAAATAATTTAAACAAAAAGCACGTGATCATAATTTCGGCCAGAATTATAGTAATTCGGCCTACACAAATTAAGACACTATGTCTGATATGATGACATCATTTATTTTTTTATTACATTAAAATGCAGCATACGAGCTTTGTATTACAAATAAAAAACTAATGAAACTATGTTTTACGATATTTTGAAGCACAACCATTAGTTTTAATCTCTCCCTTAGTATAAAATTCCTTCTCATTTCCTTGACATCCTTCATACAATGGATAAATTTGTTTAAAACGTTCTTTTAAAGATTGAGAAGGAGCTATTAAGCTCTCACTTTCCTCACAATAATAACAAATTGGATAGTTTCCTGATTTTCGACTTGAATAATACAGTATTTCAATTGGTAAGTCACAACTGATTCGTGTACGTACAAATACCACTTCACTTTAATAATGATCATCAGGAAAAATTGGTGCACCACAAGAGTATGAATATAACTCTAGTGCTTGTTGATAATCTTCTTGTTCCTCATTATTCAAGGATTTATCACTATAAACATAACGGCGTTTTCTACAATCCTCACAATTAATGTAATCACGAATTTTACCTCCAATTAGGATAGACTTTGAAATGGGTTCTGCATTCGCTTGTGTTTGCATATATGTTGGTCTATACTCTTCAGTAGTTTCAGTTCCATAAACACATTTAAAAGGCATGTAGTGATTTGTATTGTCTGGTTAAAAATTAATAAAGTTTAGTTAATTTAAAATATTGAAAAAAAATACAAAAAAGATAATTTACCTCGTGAAGGAATAGGATCTGAAAGAAAGTTCAAATTATTAAATTCGTGTGGTGAAAGGCAAATTGGTTTACAATATGAATAGGTAATATTGTTGCATTTTTTTACCTTTAAAAAAAAAACATTAAAAATCAATTATTTATTATAGTATAAATGCCATAATATTACCTGAAAGCTATATGCATGAATACAGCAGTGAGTATCTTTAAATTCAATTAAAGCAGTGTGATGACGTATTTGTACTTGTGTAGTTTCGTCAACTGTTAAAGTTAGATCTAAAGTATGAATAGACTGTTTGAAAAATAAGAAATTGTATGGATATTAAATTAATAAAAAAATATAAAAAATAAATAAATGATAAAATTTTACCTCAAATAATTCAGTAATAGCTTTCACATTTGCTGAATAATTGCATTTAAATTTCTTTTCCTTTAATGAGAGTCATTCTGTTCGATTATTTAATATATTCTGAACACTTGCAATACTTTCTTTTAACTCAGATTCTAATTTATTAGATTCTTGAGCTTTAGTTCGTATATCATCTAAAGTATTTGCTGTATCAAATAGAACTTCAGATTCAGGACTCATTTGATCACGCTTAAGTGCAACACCTTGAAGACCTAAATTCAAAATGCTCATAATCCGTTCTGCTGGGTTCGTCCAGCTATGATTAGGAGCTGTACGAACTGCAATAAGTAAATCAAAATTTCCACTAAGAAAAAGACAGATTAATGAAATCTGTACTGATCCATAATTACATCGGTGATCTGGCCCTCCATCAGTATAAAGACATAATATTGGAGGCGTCATTTGGTGTGCATATTGAATATTGAGTGCATTTAAAAATTCAGTTGAGTGTCTGATCACATTACTTGGTTCAAAAGTTGCATATTTGTAAGATACAAATACTTGGCCATCATAAAATGATCCTGAAATTTCATTAGAAATTGATATAAAAAATGTAACTGAAGGAGTTATAGAAAGTTTAGTAAAATCATGATCAGCAGCAGCCAAAGTGCTATTTTGAGCAACCATAGAACATCTATTTCGTACGCCTGTAGAAACAGCAACAATAGGAACTTTATGTTTGTCATTAGCAGAAATTAAGCAAGTCCATTGTTTATAATGGATGCAAAATTCTCTAAGGTATCGAAAAAATGCTGCACAATAATGTGCATCATCACTACTCTTTCGAAGTAACCGGCCTTATACCTTAAATTTAATATTAAATTGGCCAGTATGATGCATTGATCTTGTTGTTGTAGTATTTGTAGGACAAAATTGAAGTCAGATCCACTCATCTGATGGAATATGAATAGTAAAAGGAAGTGGATCACTGTAAATAATTTTCAGCCTTTCTGTTACAATTTCACGAAGGTCATGGACAGATAAAGCCAATGGCATATATAAAATTGTCCCATGCCGTCGTTCATCTACTGCAAGTAAATTCTATTGTTAAATGAAATAAATAATGGTCAAAATAGATTTTTTTTTGTGTTTGTGTCAGTATATTTGGTAATACCTGATACATTACACAATTTCGCCATTCATGTGTTTGAAACATATTTTTTTAACGTAAAATATTTACCTGCTCATTGAAATAAGTATCTGTTTCATTCCAGAATTCATTAAACTTCATCCCTTTGAATCCATTATTTGTCTGCAAATCAAATATAATATTTGGATCTGCTAAAGTCAATATTAATTGTAATCTTTCTTCTATATCACGACTAATAACATCTGATGTTACAGCAGCATTTCCAGTAAGATCAAAATGAAGTATTTGCAATACAGCAAATTATAGTAATTAATGCTTAATACTTTTATTTAAATATTGATTGAATTATTATTACCTTATTTAATACATTCTTTTGCATTTGTCGTGTAAAATACTGAGGCAATTCTTTATGAATCCTGGCCAACCACAGGTCAAAAAACGATCTATCTCACACATATCGGGTACCTATATATCGGTGACTAATTAGGTACATATCGGGCATTTTTACATATTAACAACATATCGGGTACCCAATTTGTCACATAATGCGCAAATTTCAAATATGGTTAAAAAAATGTAAATTACCAAGTGTCCGATATCCAAACTATTAGTCACCGATCCGTTATCTAATATATATCGGTCACCGATATTTGTACGATCTTTAAAAAAATTTGTGTGTTTATTTAATATTATCGTAGTATAGAAAACAGCTACTGATTTCTGTCTATTTGGTATTGGCTTTGTATGCTTTGTACTTTGTAAAAATGTAATACAGTGTACGAAAAAAGATAATTGCTATGGAGTGCTTGATCCAAGTATCATTTATCTTCACAACTTCATACGGAGTTTTTCCAAATCATGAATACTTATAAATAGATGATGTTTATTTACTTTTTTAGGAAATATTGAATGATAAGATTATTATATAAGCCAACTCTCAGTGATCATAGTAATACAAGAGTGCGGCCAGAGAATACCTAAACTTCAAACCCGTTATCAAAAGCATATACAAATTATTCAAATTACCGCGATTTTCTGAAATCCACTTATTGTAATTAAATTTCTCATGGCAAAAAAATAAATACGTTCCCCTTTTTTTCTTTGTAAACTATTACACTGAAT